CAATTGAGCATCTAATTAATCTACTAAATTAATGAAATGCATATTTTGGGGTTGACTTAATATTACTTTTAATAATTCGAGTACATATAACTCGATTAACATTTTATCATCTGCGAAACGTGTTTTTAGATTTTTAATAACAGACTTATATTCACTTTCAGAAGCTTGATAAGATTGAACATAATCGAAAACTTTATCTTTTTCTGTCAGCATCAGGTATGCGAACTTCACGTCGTCATCTAATTTGGAATCCTCATCAATTTTTTGGAAGCTTTATCAGTTTCGGTTTCATCAGTTGGCAGGAAGAAAGATATTTAATGACAATTTCGTCGTTTTAAATAATATCCGAGTCTTTTTCTTGTAGTTTAGCAAATGCCAGTGACGCCGTCAGCAGTGCAAGATTCCAAATCATTTATTGTTTTTGCGACAGAAGAAATTTTCCTTGGATTGTATATTCACGATTGATTTTTCTTGGGCTCCAGATGTAGAGACACGAGAAGATTTTACGTAGGCTGTAGATTTAAATGAATTAGTGCGAGCCTATTTTTAATACATTTTATAACAAACTTAATAGAACGACGACAAACGCTGAAGTGAAACCTATATATATAATTCTCTTACACGGCGACAAAAAAAAGCCTCATTACAACTCCCCGAATGGCAACGCTAGAAAATCGACCAATGATTGCCGCTAAAAATGTCACATGCCAAATCTAGTTGAGGTGGCTCAACATATAGCGCTTTTAAAAACGGAAACTGAAATAATCAGAGTGTAAAATATTATGTGCTTATGCGCATCGTATTTTTTGTTAAATAATTTATTTATTATATATCAGTTTATAGATGGTAACGAGAAGAGTTTTGTGGTTGCTATGGTGACTAATTAGAATGTAAATTGTTTTTTTGAGTGAGTGTGAGATTTGCTTTTTGGAACTGCGATGCTGTAATTTTATTGTTTAGTTATCTTCCTTTTATATTAAACGTGATAGTAGTTTCCTTAATTATTTGATTCGAAGGCTTTTGAGTTTTATTTGAGGTCAGTTTATTTTGTATTTTTTGACAAGAGAGAGCATTCTCACCAAATGAGATTTCTTCCGAAATTCAATGTCTTGTTTATGCAGGTTTTTCCATTGCAATTCACTTATTTCAATTTTTAATAGACTTAATTATAGCGAAATTTTGACCTATTTAAAGAGATATCAGTTTTATAAATTTTATCTTAAGATTTTATACTATAGCACATTTCTAATAGGTTTAACGAATTATATGTCATTTATTTGAATTCAAATTTATTTTAATGACTTAGTATTTACTAAAAAGATGTTATTTAAAAAAAAAAGTTGTTATATGGATTTGAATGATTGTTTTGAATTCTTAGAATTTTTGGCATTTGCAATGTACCTAAGTTAGCAGCGAGCTTGGTTTACGAAGCAAACCATCTAAGATTGCGTAGCAATTTTCGGGGGTTGGCGAGCGGTAGCGAGCAGCCCACTAGTATTAAAAAAAACTTTTAATTCTTTCTAAAATGCGCCATCTAGTGAGAGATAAAAATTATTAGTTTAATGGAAGGAGATGCAACATTATGTTCACATTACAGCTTCAAAATTGTAATGATTAAATTAACTATCTCTTTCATAATGGAACTTCTTAAAATATAATCTCGTAATTAATTTTTAAGAAAAAAAAGTATCTTTGACTGGCCCTTAAAAAGAGTAAGTTTAGTGTTTATTGATCTTATATTTTTTCTTTGAAATACTTGCATTACAAGTTTCCCGTGGTGGTACAACCGAATTCTTAAATATTCCTGTAGTATTGATTCGATAGGGCATAGTCGATGATTTTCTAATGGAGTTTGATTTAATGAGTGATTCATGTTATAAAATATATTACTTTCAATCTATGGCATCGAATAATTTAGCAATTATAGCATTAAATTTTTGCGTTGTGGCTTTCCTTCAGAATGATGCTTCTTCACAAATTCTGCAAATTCTTATAGCGTCTTAAACTTCCTTCATTTCTTCTTCGTAACAGATAGGAAGTTTTATTTTCTTCACAATTCTAATATGCACTCTGCACATTTTAACATTGAATTCAGAGATTTCACAACAAAATCAGCTATATAACTATGCAACGTTATCTACATACTTACTGACGCATTTAAAATGAGTTAAGTCGCACAAATTGTTCTCCTGATGTATTGAAAATCTGCATCTTCCTTCCTATTTATAGCTTAAGTTTATTTATTTATCGTTGAAGATAAATTTAAGTAAAATTTTGATTAGACGTTACTTCATGGTGACATAAAAGCCTAATATATATAGCTTTAAATTGCTTGGCAGTTGGATTGTTATTAAAAATATCAAATAATTTATCGAAACATTTTAAAAAATTGGCAGTTGCGTCATAATCTTTAATTTAAGTTCTTAGTGCAAAATAAGAGGGCTTCAGCTACTCAATTGTTTACAGCTAATTTAACTTTTATTTTTGCTTGCTCATTTTTTTTCTATGTGTCTATTTCTGAGGTTCTAAACCTTCCTCAGAATGCAAATTTTCTAAATTAACTATGCAATTCAATTTTCGCCCTTCTTATCAAACATTGATCCTTCAGCAGTAATTTCATCATAAGGCGTGTATTTACAATGAGGGTACTATGCTGGATGCAGTTGAGATCTCAGTATATATATATA